GTCTTTATTTTACAGTTAAAATATATGTTTATCAAATAAAGTCTAATGTTACAACTAATCAGGGATCCCGTTAATCATTTTATCATTTACAAACTAAATCTATTTTAAATTTTAAAAACTTTTTTTAGTTTATTTGGCAGGGTCAATCCACACAGAACAGATGAAGTCTGTAACTGATGCGTTATATAAAGAGTTTAGCTAAGCTAATTTGCAACTCCAGTCCCTGGTTGGGCATTTCTAGACATTAAAAAACATACAATTCATTCATCAAAATACACAAAAAAATACATATGTATATCTGCCTACATATTCATGTAATCAACCATGCAACCTTCAAATTCATTTAATAAAAACTATTCATTAAAATCAGTGGTGGCAGCACTAATCTAAAAATTAATTCCGCTAGTCCTAAAACACTAACTCAAATATTTAGGTCCCCTAATTCTAAAGCACTAACACACTGAAAATTTCAGCAAAAGCTAATTCTAAAGCACTAAAATAACCCTGTCAACCCATGAACATTCTTCAGCAGACAACATGAGTCACATATTGACTTGTTAACATTCCACAGATGTATTTGGGTTTATATATTGTCAACTGGTGCAGGGGTTCTCTAATGTTTTGGGTCTGGGGACCCCTTACCAGGGTGAAAATTTTCCAGGGACCTCCTAATGAACCCATGCTGTTTTAAAAATAGTTTACTGTCATTTTACCTCCTAAATGCCATGGGAATATTATCTTTTGTTTGGTTTAGTATGTTTGTTTTACTAGTCTATTGTTCCACATATACATTAAAAAATAAAAATCAAATAAACAATTTATGGAAAATTTTTTGAAGACCCCCCAAGATAAGACTTGTGGACCCCTGGGGGTTCTGGGACCCCAGTTTGAGAACCTCTGACCTAGTATATAAGTGACACACATATGAACAAAATGTGTGGCAGCTTTCACCCTCAGCTGTTAATATTAACGTTGATCAATAACATATATAGACCTCAGTTAGTGCTTCTAAAAGCACTAAACAGGTAATTAGTTCCAGTATTAGTGCTTTAGGGGAACTGTGCCCACCACTGATTAAAATACATAGAATACATTAAAATACATACAATTTATAAATCAGAAACAATAAAAACATTTTCCTCTCAACATATTCATAAATAGCCATGCACCCTCTACATTTATATAAATGTCCATACATCCTCACAACCTCTCCATCCTCATACATTCAGCTAACATACCACAAATACTAACTCACTAACACATACAGTACCACACAGACATTCACGTTCATTAATTCTAACTATTCCACTAATTCACATTGACATGTATCATTAGATATGAATATGAATTTGTGTTGAATGAAGTTTGAGTTGAAGTGAATTGGAACTGGATTTGAATTGTGTATACTGTATCACACTGGGCTTTTTTTCTGCAGCAAGTAGATTTAAACAGTTTTGCCATAATGTATAGTACACAGATATTATTTTTATAGTAAATGTGGGCTTTAAAAAAATATAAATAAATAAATTGATTTCAGTTGAACCAACTGAATTGAATCAAACTGAACTGACTGTTTAGCTCTTTAGTAAAAAAAACATGACCAGTGTGGAATAACCAGACTAGAAGCATTTATTACATCTTCATTTATGCCTTTCTTTATTTATGTTTCTCTTCTACACGTTTCGAACTCAGTGCATCACAGTTTGTTTAAAGTTCATGGATCCAAACGTGACGGGTCGTTTTAGGAAACCACAGGGTCAAAAACAGACGGGCCTGTTTCACAAACACGGGTCAGCCTGTGTGTCCTGTTAGCAGCGAGCCGCTTGTGCTTCTTCTCTGCAGCTGGCTGTCCTGCAGGGCGCCAGCAGCTGGAAGCTCCAGTAAACAGGCTGCTGAGAGGGAGGGCGTGGTGTGCAAGTCCACAGATTACAGCTCCCAACCACTGTGTGCAGAAATGAGACGTATATGGCTGGAAATGACTCGGTGTACAAAACAGGATGATTTTTTTTAATTGTGTAAAGATTTCAAGCAGTTTATTGCTGTTGCACTTCAAATGAGAATAAAGTGAACACTTGTTCTTCTGGAAATCAGGGGATCTTTGTTAAATCTGATGTAATAGTGCTCGCTGTGATGACAGAAAAACAAAGTGATTTTTGATTGATTTGTTTCCTGATGAAGTTCAAGTTCAAGTTTATTTATATAGCGCCAAGTCACAACATACGTTGTCTCAGGGCACTGTACATAAAAAGAATAATCTAAAGAAGAAACCAGCAGATTGTGTTGAATTACTTCATCACAGTCTCCCATCCTGAGCAAACGGTGGAGAGGGAAAACTCCCTGCTAATCAGGAAGAAACCTCCAGCAGAACCAGGCTCAGGGCAGGCGGCCATCTGCCTCGACCGGCTGGTTGAGGGACAGGAAAGAGACACAGGTAAACACAGAAGAACTGGTCCAGGTGCACCTTCCTCTGGAAGAGACAAAGAAAAAAACATGATAGAAATAATTATAATAAACATGTAGAGAAGAGAGACTAAAGACAACAGCAGAGTGAGGAAATGTGCTCAGTTTGTGCTCCAGCAGTCTGAGTCTATAGCAGCAGAAATGAAGAATAATAAGTTGAGTTCCATGTGAAAGTCAGACTCACAATGAACACACCCAGCCTACATAACTGTAAACTCTCATGATGAAACACTGCAGATGGTTAGACATTTTCTTTATGAAGTTAAAAAAAAGAAAAATAATTGACACAATGCACAAATCTTTGAGTTTGGATTCTTTTATATAAACAAAAGACATAAACTTTTCCTCCCTGCATTTCAAACATATTTGGCCTTGTGCTTCTGCTTATGGATGCTGAGTGCATGTGCATGCTCATGTCTGTTGGTCCAGAGGGGGTAGCAGCACTCGGCAAAATGACATTCCTCCTTTTGTGTCCACATTCCTGAGGCGGCTCCATTCATTCTGTATGACTGCTGCTGCTGCTGAGGAGGAGCAGGAGGAGGATGCTGGAGCTGAGCGCATGGGAGAGCGTGGCCCCGGCTCTCCTCTCAACGGGGCCACAATGGCCTTAGTGCCATGGTAATTAGACATGAATGAGCTTTGAACGACATGACATGTCTCAGGCTTTGCTCCGTGCCTGAGGAATTCCAGCATCCAGTTTGGTAAAAAAAAAAAAAAAAGTAAAAAATAAAATAAACGGAGCGGACAGGGGAGGGGCGAGCTTGTGCACATTTAAACCCTTGAATTCCCGAGTTATTTTAATTTCCTTGCACTGTTTGATGACCCCTCTTACCTTCAAAGGCACCTGAGCTCAGTTATCTTTGTGTGGCTGTAAAATGTAGCTGAAATATATATTCACAGGTGGTGAGTCACTCACCAGAGTGCAACAACTCCTGGTGCTCAGCTTTTCTTACCGCTCCTCTGCTGACTAGCATCACGCTGACCTTTCCCTCTCATGATGTGGGTTATTTTAACGAACATCTCCCTAGGAAAACACGTGGCCTCTGCATCTCAATGGGCCTGTTTGCCCAGTCTCAAGCGTCACATTAGCATTCAGAGTGTAATCCCACCCCTCACCACAACCACCCAAAGTCCTGGGTTGGCTGCTGCTCTCCCTGCAGCCAGCATTTGCTCATCTCCACATAATCAGCTTCTCTTTTCCATCTTAAAAGCTGCAGTCAAGCTTAGAAGAGAAAAGCACAGCTGGGTGGTAATGGAAGGGTTTTATCTTGGTCTGAGCAGAGCAGGTGAGGAAAGTTCCAGTGGAAAGTTGGGGGGTTCAGAGGCGAGAACTTAAAGTTTGTACAAACACACACGCTTGAAGCTGCAAGCTATTAAAAGTGATAGAAAACACAAATAATTAGCACTAATGAAGTGGGTCTCATTGCTGAGGATGAGTGTCTGCTATACCTGCTTTAGGTAATTACAGGAGGAAACTCATTAGCTTGATCTTATTAATGGAGAGCTCCTTCCCAGAGTGCTCCATCATCTGTCAGGAGGAGAGGAGTTCAGATCCAAAAGCAAACATGATTCATACGAGGCTCAGAGGCTTCTGAGAGCTACAAATCCAAAGGAACACAAGTTACATGATTAATGAAAGGCTTTGAAGTAGATCAAGATGAAAGGTACATAAAGTAACTGATATTTTTGTAACATTGTGTGTCCTGGTTATAACAGCTACAGCATACCGTTCATTTTTTTCTTTGTTTTTTCGTAGAAAATTATTTGTCGAGAAGCCAAATCTGTGACCTTCACTGTGTTTTAGTCCATATTTGTGATGTGGAGGTTTTGATTTATAATGCCTGTTTTATTATACAAATTTAATACTGATATTAATACTGATATTTGAGAATTTACAGCATTTGTTTCAACAACATCAGTGTATTGTTTCATCAGAGACTGATTTGAAAATCAAAC